CCATAGTGCTTACATAAAATTCGCGAAAACCTCGGAAATGGGGTCACGTGTATTTTGTTTTGTCATTTGTTTGTGTTTTATCATTTTTAAGTCTTTGTATCCCATTAGGTGATGTTGGTTGGAATTGTTTTATATATGTATCGTAATTTTCGCTTGATCAGGTTCCTAAAGCAGTGTCTGACATTGCAATGTGGTATATTTACATTTGGTTCACTAATTTAAATTCCGACCCAGTAAGGACCATTATCCCCATATCCAGCTTCGCGGTCATAAAAATGTTTCAATTGAATGAAGTTATAGTTTAAGAACCATATAAAGGTTCCATAGAGTGTCTTCAACAATTCTTATATAAGATAATTACATAATCATGTATACAAATACACACTAGTGAAAAAAAAAAAGAATGTATTGATCAAAAAAAAGAATCTTCAAGTTGAAAGATAAACTACAAAAACCAATGATCTGATAAGCTTTTACGAGAATTGAAAATATTCAGCAGGTCAATTGATCATAAAAATGATGCTTTGATTCTTAGGGCTTTGAAATCAAATGTTTTGTTGGTTGATGTTGTTCCATTGAGTTTTGTAGAACCTGTACTGGATAAATGAGTTGATTATCACCATCAAGTTGAATAGATGTTACCAACAAGTTCTCGATTGTATTCTAAAGTTGACGGAATGCTTTAATTTTTTTAATGGTTAAATCGTTAATCTGAATACCCGTAAGAGCAATTTACTTGATGTACTACTAAGCTAACATAACCAAATCTAATTGATTGTCTCTATATTTCAATATTACAGCTTCACTAACACAAATCTTACCATTTTCACCAAGTAAAGAATATTCATCACAAAATCTCCACAAATTCCACCGACAGCTTTTAAACCTTCATCACCTAGTACCGGTCTCATTTAAACCTTTATGAATCTCTTTTTAATCATCTGGACTAAATCCTGTACCTTATGGAGTCCCATATTTTAGATCATTGGAAAGCTGAACAGAGTTTAAGGCATCAACATCTCATATTCAGTATTATTGTGGGAAGGTTGCTGCAGAGTTCCCAACGTAGCCATGAAGAACATGTGATTGGACTGTGAGTTAATTGTTTATTCTATTAATTTCAAATCCTTGGTGATTCATCTTTCCTCCTCAATTCTAATCAAAATATCATCTGCTTAATTTTGAAGCCCCTTCAGACTACCCATTGAAATGGGCGTGAAATCATTATATTATATAGCTATTAGCTAATACATTAGAATGTTAATTGAAAACCATGTATTGATTAAATAAATAAACTTTATATGTATCATGACTTGTTCTTCAATTCTCTTAGCTTGTCCATGACATCACTTCTTGAAGTTAAGTTCAATTTTGAAGTAATTGATTCATCATCTAATCTCATAAATGGATTAAATTCTAATTCATCACCAATTGAAAATTGACCAGTGGTAACTTCATTTTCATTGACAAATTTTTCCAATTGTTGAATGGCATTGTTTTGTAAAAGTGTTTTAGCAAATTTGACATTTCCTTTAGTATATTCATGACCTGGGAAAACTACTGTATCTTTTGGCAATTTAGCTAGTTTGAAATTCAAAGCTGTATCCATTTCTTCACCTGTACCTTCAAAAAATCTACCACAACCGGCAGTAAATAATGTATCACCTGTGAATACAAATCTTTGTTGTGGATTTTTGAAATCTGTTACATAATAACATATAGAATCTTGAGTATGACATGGTGTATGAATAGCTTTAATTTCAATTGATGAACCTAATTTCAAAACTTCACCATCTTTTGGAACATATGAAACTAGGGGAGAATCTTTACCGGCAATGACAGGTAATTTGTATTTGTTGTATAATTCTTGATTACCACCTGAATGGTCATAATGATGATGAGTATTAACTATTGCTTTTAGATTAACACCAGCTTTTTCTAATTCAGATAAAACTCTATAACATGTTAGGAAATCACTTGGTACAATTGATTTGAGAAATATATCAATACTCACTCAACTGGTTCAGCTGGATCAATGATCCATGAATCTGTGGTACTATCATCCGTTAAAAGATAGGAATAGTTATCACCAGTTCCCCATCTCATTTTGATATATTGAACGTGCATTTTTCTTGATTGTATTATTGATTTGAAGACTGACTTGTTACTTAATAGTCTACCTGTTATTGATCTGTTTAACATATAAACTAACAGTAATTGAAGATATTTATGAATGTTTGAAGATTGGATTATAAAACTCCGAGTTAACTTTTGGCTTTGTAATTGCTTTCTCGAATTTATTGTTGGCTGCTGGTTATAATAAATATTCTAAGTTTTGGCACCATTATGTAATCGTAATCAACATTTTGTTCTTCTCTTTTGTATCGTTTATCAGCTTTCCATAAATCAAGAAACAACATTCCAACTTTTAGTTTCCCATGAGGATATGGGACTAGCCCAAACCAATGCTTCTTATGGATTTCATGCAGCCATTATATCCCGTTCGGTGTCTTGGAATTTAAGCTAAAGAGTCAAGACGGTCACACTAAAATTCACCCAAGAACGATAACTCCATTATTCACCGATACAAAATCCCTTGATAATTTAAATAAATTTTCATGAGAATGCAAATATAATATAAGAGGATTAAATCATCCATGAAAATGTTTTCTTTAGTTGGATCTCAATTATCAAATTGAACAACTTGGATCCCATATTAAACCTTGCATCAATATAATGATTTCTTTATTCAAAGCTTTCTTAATATCTCTTCTGATATGCTCAACCTCTGCTGCTGATTCAGAAACTTTTGGCTCATTGGCTATTAAACCTGTTGATTATGATAAATATGGAGAAACTATTGATTTAAAGCTAATAAGATATTTAGAAGATGGTACTGTTTATTTCTTTGTTGATCAACAAACAATTCCAAAAGATACAAAGACTTTCAGAAATGCTACAATTTTGAGTTCAGGACAATTAGCAAATCAAGATGGTAATTCTTCATCGCCAGTCTACTTACAAATTGATGAGACTTCAGGTCTGGTTTCTGCTGGTACTAATAGTGGTGCATCAAGCGGTGTTTTTTCTATTGAAGATGGTAGTTTATATTTCCAATATCATAAGATTTTTGTTGCATGTCAAGGTGGATCTGAGGCACAAAACTATACTTTAATTTGGAGAGGTGCTTCTTCTCCAGCAGTCTGTGAAAACGATTGGTTATTAGTTTATATGAATCCATATGGAACATCATCTAGTGTTGCTGATTATTACCCAGATAATTATGTTAGTTCAATCGCTTCCACTGCAAGTGATAGCACTGAAACTTCGACAATGACTGCTGCTGTTTCAGCCACTGAATCTACAGTATCTTCAGTCAATGGTGCTGGATTGATTAATCCTATAGGTTCTGGTGCTACCGTTCTATCAGGTTTATCTTTATTAACAATAGTGGTGATGAGTTTGATCTACTAATGGTATTAAGTCGGTTGTTTTCTTGAACTGATAATAGAAAATCACACAAATTAACCTCCTTGTCTGTATACACCTTTTATACATATTTTCATACTAATAAATCATTTCATAATGTTTTAAATTAAAGAATTAAGTATAAGTGTTGTTCATATAGACCCTTCGCGGTGCGTGTACCAAGCGTACGTAACTAAATCCGTAAAGTGCCAGATTTTGATTGTATAGCCAATTTAGAAAATAATTTACCAGTTTCAAAACAATCATCGAAAGAAGCTCATATCAACCATATTCAAATCCAATTGACATCCCACTTGCTCGTCTTGATCACCAAACCATATAATCATAAAATATGGCAAAGAAGAAGAAGGGATCCAAGGCAAACAAGAACAAACAACCACAACAGAGGAAGGAAGATGATATAGGAGACAGCCAGAATCACAATGAAGGTGATGGAAATGGAGATGTCCAACTGGACCTAGATCAAGAACATAATCAACAAGATACAACAGACCATTTGGAAGTACCCAATGATCATAGGTCTCTACTTAAAGAACCCGAGGTTGGGTTAGATTCCAAGGATGTCACTGACCAAGAATCTGATAATGATGAAAAACAAGATGTACATGTTTCGGAAGAAGAGGTAACAAATGATGAAGAACAAGATCAGGTACCGCTGAATGAAGACGATGATGCACAAACACAGGACTTTGGTGGTAATGATGAAGTCGAGCAAACTGAAAAGTCCAAGGGAACCGTTGAACTTATTGAAGATGTTGATAAAAATGGGAATGGAGACAAGAGTATAGACGCTGACCTTAAAGATGATTACCAAACAAATGAAGATCCAAATAACACTACAATCAACTCTACGGATAATATCACCTCAAACGAAAGTGTGGGTGTCGAACTTAAGGATAACCAGAATTCAACAGAGCAGAACTCAACTACTGACAAACATGAAGAGTATGAGGCCCCTAAACTTGAAACTACAGACACCAATGATGAAACTATACAGCATACAACACAAGAAACAGATGGTTCGAATGAAACAAATAATGGTGACTCAACGAGAGATAGGAGTGTAACAGAACACATGACTGAATTGTCCTCGGCTACTGATGCTCCAAAAGGTATAGAAAATGTTGAACCCCCACCAAAGAAGCTTGAACCTACAATATTGAATGGAATATCACCAGGTCCTTTTTCAATTCATGATATAATCACTGAAATTCCACTACATAATCCTGATGTCAAAGGATCAGAACATTCTTTCCCAACCTATGTTGAAAAACTTGATGATCATATATATATAGGTACATCTCATGGTGAATTGCTTCATTTCTTCAAAATTGAAAATGAATATATTCTTGTATCAAGAAATAGTTTCCATCAAGCAAGAACAAAACCAATCACAAAAATTCTTTTATTACCGAAGTTAGAAAAAGCGTTAGTGTTGTCTGGTGGTTTATTTTCATGCTTTTTATTACCAGAATTCTCACCTGCAAATATTGGTAGAGTTAAAGATGTGAATGATATTAGTCTGGACCATGATCATTCTGCAAAAAACGATGCTACCGGTGTTCATGTTGCGGTTTATTCAAATCAAAGAATACGTATAATAAATGTCACACCAAAAGCTCTTAGATTAGTGAAAGACATAGCATATCCTGATTCACAAAAGGGTTTAAGAAGATCTGAATATTCATTAGTTGCATCAAAAGAAAACTATGATCTTATTGATTTAGAAAACACCCAGAAGATTCCATTATTTCCTATATTAACAGTTCAAGATGAAACTGGTGGGCATACTGATAAATTAGAGCCATTCATTTTACCAGTTGGACATGATGAATTCTTGCTGACATGTGGTTTGTCACAAGATGAGCCAGCAATGGGTTTGGTAGTCAATGTCAACGGTGACATTTCAAGAGGTACAATACCGTTCTCCAAATATCCTGAATCTATTGGTGTTGTGGATCCTTATACAATTGCAACTTTCGATGGTAATATATCAATCAATTCCTTAAATGACCAAACTGAAGTTCAAACTATTGAGTTTAATAACCCTATTAAAGTATGCAATATAACATCACCATTTATTGAACCACATCCAGAACTAATAGATTTAATTAAACGTGTACCTATAGTTGGTCAAAATAAAGAACAAGAAGTTCAAGAATTTGATTTTGCCTCCAAGACTGCTACAATAAGCTCTTCTTTGGTAACGTTTTGTACTGATTTCATCAAAATATTATTACCACAACCAAGATTAATCAGACTTATCAAATTTACAAGCGTTCAACAATTAGAAGATGAAATTAAGTCAATAGATGGAAGTACAGAACTGGGAGTTATTGAACTGGAGTATATTAATATATTGATAGCCTTAACACTACTCAAAAATAGAACATATAACCAAGCGTTTGAAGTTTGGACATCTGGTATTATTGATCCTAGGTTGTTGGTTTATATCTTCAAGTATGAAGTCTTTGGGACATTATGGCTCTTCAATGGTCTTAAAGATGTTGTTGATGAATTGAGAAAAGGTATAAAGGAAACGAAATTTAGAAAGTTTTTTGTGAAGTTTTTGGATAAATGGATCGAAAAGGAATCTTTTATTGAAAATCAAGATATTTTAAAGTCTATAGAATTGGCTGACTTGAAAGAGTCATTAGATGATGATATTAAGATATTGAATATAGTTGATAGATATACAAATGTTGCATTGGATGATATAGTGGATATATTGAAATCAAATAAGAAGTTTACTGCATTAGCAAAAGTTTATACAAAACAAGAAAAATATAGAGAGGTCCTAGGTATATATAAGGATTTGGTTGATGGAAAAAAGCCGTCGCATGCTTTGAAAAAAGATGATGGATTGACATTGGTGATTGATCTAATTTACAAACATTTCAGTAAAGATGAAGATTTAGTTTGGGAAACTGGACTATGGTTAATAAAGAAAAATCCAGAGTTGGGGTTGAACTATTTCCAAAATGAGAACTTGGATATAAAAATCAAAGATGAGACTGTTTTGATCTCCAAAATAGATGATGTATCCTTAAAGTACAAATACGTTGAAAAGTTATTGGTCAAACTAAACAAAGAGAAGATGAAAACAAATCTAGTGAAAAATTTATACAAAACTGAATTGAAAAGTTTGAATGATAGGATTAAAGCATATAGAAACCATTCCAAATCATAAAAACTAGAACGACGTGATATAATGACTGCATATATTAATATAATGATTCATTGCTCGGCCCGCTTAAGCCAGAGTAATCTGTTTTTTACGGATTGTTAATCAGCTATTGTAGTCAATTGATCTAATGTTGAAGATTATACCCGCGAAAAAAAAATACACACGATTTTTAAACCATCGTCGATGAGATGAAAAATAATAGATCAATGAGCTTGAGTCTTCCATAGATCCATCATCAGATATATTCAAGGCTTAATTCAAGATAATGCTGGCCTCTAAACTTTCGAGGATAAGACTTTTAAATCCAAGAATACCCAGAGGCTTCCGACTTATACATGGAAGTGATGAAAAACCGAACACATTAGAGCTCAAAAGACAGAGGTCAACCATTCTTCCACCTTTGGATCAAACCCAATTTGTTTCAGAAAAAGATTCATTGCAGAGAGAAATACTTAGTTACGATCAGATAAGAAGTATTATCAGTAAATCAAAACTGCTTCAAAAGAAAGAATCCCCATTCAAACCAACACTAGTCAGGTTTTTAGAGATTGAACTATTGAAAATAGCATCTGAACAATTTGATGATTTTGATAAATTTTATGACTTATTTTACGATTTAATGAAGATTTTAAGAAAAAATAAAGAGCTGCAAAAGTATATTGAATCAAATTTAACTAATATTTCAAATTTGGCTTTCAACATGTTAATGAATCAAAAATATTATTCACTTTTTATGAATAAAGAGATAACCTTGGTTTTACTGAATTCAGATCTCCAGAATGAAGAAAAGATACAAAGAGTGGAATCCCTACTTAAAGTTTCATATAAAATAAAACAACAGTTCATAAGGAAGGACGTGCATCAATACCAGGAACTTACTATATCAAGCAGGAATTTGAAATCCATAATGAATATCCTAAGTCGTGAACATTATTTAAACTTCTTTGTTCAATTGATAGAGTTTGACATACATCAAATAACTTCACCAGATTTACAAAAACTAAGAAATGAATTACTACATGGGGATAATACTGAACAACAAGTTTATCAATTCCAAGCACTTCGGACAGTGGAAGATGAAGAAACAAAAAATCTTTTGAGAACTAAATTCCTAACAATTTATTCATATGGGATGATTAGAGCTATTGTTATAAAATATATTCAAGAAAGCAATAATGAAATGGTTGATTTTTATATGGATTTTCTTATGGCTAAATATGCTATGACTAGAGAACTTCCCCATGTTAACTCACGTGAATTGACTCAAAATCTTTATGAAGTTATTACATATCAACTTGTTAAACTTAAACATTATAACTCTGCTATTGAGTTACTGGAAACGATGAAACAACACGGCCTTACACTTACACCAAAGCTGCTACATATATTGGCTGTTTCATTCAGAACAAGAAAGATGTTCGATGAAACTTTGTTGATATTGAAGAAGATTGCAGAGCTATTTAATGATAAAACAGTTGGGATTGATGACCAGTTCAAGAAACTCATATCTAATGAATTACTTATTACCATAAGAGAACAGTTTCCTGGTGAGCCAAAGATATTGATCAGTCAATTCTTATCCATGTTTGAAGGATCTGAAATATTATTGAATGAGCTTGGTATTATTAATTTGATTCACGATGGGCATGTCAAGAAGCTGGTTGACTTAGATGGTGTTTTAGCTCAATTTTACAAGTCTGAAATCTCTGATATATTTAAAGCCAATTGTTTTCCGGATATGCATAATATAACTGAGATATATATTGCAGTATTGAATTATATTTCTGTACATTCGTTTGTATTACCCAAAGAAGATATTTATAGAGAACTTTTCAATTTAGCAATGGATCATATATCAAAAGTTCAAGAGTTAGACTTTCCGGATCATCCATTTTCAAAACAAAATTTAGATGAAGCTTTAGTTAATCTTTTTGTTAAAAATGTTCTCGAGATAAATGTTGATTTGGCTTTGGACATGTTGAAAAGATCATTGCAAACTTGCACATTCAAGAGATTTACTGGTGAAAGCGCTAGCAGAATTTTAGCTAAACTTGAAAACGCAGATTCAACAGAAATCGAAATAATACTAGCTCTATTCCAAGAGCTGAAGGAATCATTGGGATTTCATGCATTAACAGCTTTGTGTTTGAGAGCTGCTAGATTTGATGACTTTGATCAAGCACGCTTTTGGTATGATAAGATATTGGCGCTAGGTGAACCACTCACACATTATAGACTTATTAAATTAGCTGTACAGATGGAATGGGAATTACCAAAAGATTTTGATACCACATTACTAGAAAAAGAATTTCAATACTCCGCTGAAAGAGAACTATCATTTAAAGATGAAAGAGTATTCATTGATGATCCTGAATTTGCGGAATTGGTCTCATCTACATTGCAAAAATTTGAAAATTAATTAAAATCAGCATATACAATTGATTTTTACAAATAAAAGGGACAATATATTTCGTTTGACCTTTAAAAAAGCTTCAATATAACATATAAACATTGATTATGAGCATTTATCTTAGCATCTGATATTTTACACATGATATAGAATTAAATAAAAACTTTTGTAAATAGTTTTAACAAATATGCATAGAAGAAAATACTATAATACGAATTATAGATATAAATAATTAAATCATTATTCGTAACTATGTCGTAACTATATTATAAAGTCCATTTGATGATTACCTCTCTGTACCTTCATCTTCTTAAAACACCATTACGGCTTGGTTGTGGTAAGTTTTGACTACCAGGTCTAACTGATAAGTTACCACTACTTGAAGGCTGAACAGTAGGATTCATACCAATTCTTTGGTTTTGATTACTATTCATGAATTGCTTTAGGTTTTGTTGTTGTTGAAATTGTTGTTGTTGTTGAGCAGCTAACCATAAGAAAAATTTATAACCACCAAATCTTGGTGCATAAGAACTATTACTACCTGGTCCTGTTTCAATTATATTTTGTGACGCATCATGGTAATTTCTTCTACCACCACCTCTACCATACACAATACCATCTTTATCTTCTTGACTTAAGACAGGTTTATGCTTAATATAACCGGTTAAAATAATTGATTTACCGTGTGATTTTGGTGGCATGATATAATCTGCATATAAAAATGCATTTGTATCTAAATCATTATATTGATGATCATCACCTTCAATTGGACAAGGTAATATAGAATCAAATTGAAATTTTTCATTGGACAAAACTTTACCACATAAGCCAGTTTTATTGAAATGGAAATCAATAGCTTCAACTTTTTTAGAATCAGAATATAATTTTTTAAATTCTTTGAAACGCTTATTTTCTTTGCTTAAAAACACAACATCTTCTTTTCTAACATTTCTTCCCTTTTCAGCATCTGTTAATTTTGGGTATTGATCTCTAACAACTTCCAATAATCTCTTTTCATCAATAAATGGTAGTAAAACTATACCTTGCCATGACATCTTTTTACCATTCATATCTATTGGGAAATCTTCTGGATAAAAATCAATAATAGGTGAGTCTGCATCAGACATTAATGGCCTGAAAATTTCTGGTAAATTATGACCAGAAGCAGCTGGTAGAACTGACATTAATTGTTCATAAGGTAAAAATGGTTTCCCTTGTGTGAATTTAATATCTAGATCTTTGATATTTGTGAAATCTTGAGCAAATGGTGCGTAATGATAAGGATAATACCAATTCCATGATGGACAACCTTGATAATAATATAACAAGACCCATGAAATACCTTCAATATAATGTTTGACAACTTCTTTACTTGTAGCTTCAACTTCTTCATCGGAAATATGGAATTTGATTCTATAATATCTATCATGATAACCTGGTTCAAATAATCTAACTGGATCACCATCAACATCAGCAGCTTCTGAATCACTACTTACAGCTGAGTCAGTTGGAGAATCAGGAATTTGGCGTTTTTCACCAATAGTAGCATCTTCGCTTTTTTTAGTTTTATTTGCTAATAATTTTTGTCTTAAAGCTGCTGCTGCACTGATATTAGCTTGATTTGCATTTTCAACATCTTCTTCTTTAACTTCAGGTTGTGGAGTTTCACTTTCTTCTTTAGCTGATGAATCGTCAGTTGTTGCATCAGGTGTTTTACCTGCATTAATTTGAGCTTGCGCCAATTCTTTATTTGACATATGAACTTTACCAACACTTTGATTATTAACATCGAATAATGGTAAGTTATTCACTGGGGTATATGTACCTTTATCAGCTTTCCCCTTTGTAACATTTGCCAAATATTGGTTTTTAGCAATTTTATCTTCTTCTTGCCAAACTTTTCTTCTTTTATCGTTATCATTACGACGTTGATCCTGTGCTTGACGCTGTCTGAAAATATCTGCTTCCCTTGGTGCTAAATTTGATAATAATACTTCAACATTTTCTAAGTTTAAAATACCGTCACATGTAATATATGATTTCATTTTTGGTAAAACTTGTTTCCAAATACTGACTAATAAATCAATACTATTATCTCTAACATCTAAAGATGGTAAATGTGGCAAGAAATCATTACCACAAAAGAAACACATAAAGACCCAATCATCAATAGCTCTTTCTAAATCAAATTTGAAAGGAAGTCTCGGTATGTTTAATTCAATTTCCAAATATTCTCTCAAAACATTAATATTTAACCATAGAAATGGTTTTTTGGATTCTTTTTCTTCAATAAGCTTACGATGTTCTTCACTTAAATTCATTTTTTCCTGTACACTCATCATTTTATTATCACGAGCGAAAACATCTTCTCTTAAAACTCTGAAATGAGGTTCATGAGTAGCTAGACCTAAGAAAATCAAATCAGCATCTAACCCATAAATAGCATGTTTTGTATTTGGATTATATTCAATATCAGATCTTTGACTTCTAACAAAGTTCATAATTTTATGTTCACCTTCACCTGGAACTGTAGCATCACTAATGATAACTTGTAGATCTTTCCATCCCGGATCAGAACTTAATTTATAAGCAGTCCAATATCTTAATGCAAGGGCTAATTTATCCATAAATGGAGTACCTGGAGTAATTGCATTACTATCCCAAGTTTTTTTAACTTTAACAGCTTCATCTATAACTTCACCATAACCTTCTCTCAAATCTTGTAATCTTTGTCTTTCTTCATCTTGTATCTTCGCATCTCTAGCAGATCTAAATCTTCTAGCTCTTTGTTGATTCATTTTAGCTCTTGGAGCAACACCATCAACAGCGATCATAAGTACTTTTCTAGGTCTAGCCATATTCAACACTCTATCGGTATATTCAAACACGGCCAATAACATTTCATCTTCAGTCTCTGGAGGTGGTCTATTTTCCGGATGGGAACATGGATGGACAATACCATTCATATCAAGATACAAATTGTCCAATTCACCATTTGGATTTGGATTACTATATGAAGGCGGCACCGTTACACCGTCCACGACCGTAGCATCTTCTTCCAGAGTAGGGGAGATGATTTTCGGGTACTTCCTGGATAGCCATCTGTAGAACGCTGGAACACCCATTGTCTCTATCTTTTCTTGCTTTGGTTTCAAGTTCCAGATATGGTTTGTTTACTGTTAAATCAATGAAGCGCTTAAAAAATTTCAATACGTAGTTAGCCAAAAACGTTACGGACCCTTTTCCCGCGAATTCTGGTGATGTTTTGGTTTTCGTCTCCATAAAAGTTGAGATTTGAGAGTGTCAGAAGTTTTGGACTTTGGAAGTGAATTTACTAATAGAATTGGTGAAGAATGAGACCTAGATTACCAATTACTAGGAGGACAGAGATATGGAGGAGGCTTGCCTCGTCAAATAGGGACTTCAAGCACGATTACTCGCATAGACCAACAACGTACAACCATAGACTTCCAGCAGAAGGTGAGGACCCGCATTCAGTGGATACCCAGAGGACCCCCATCACCAAAGTATCAGATTTCACGTCGTTCAGTCGGTTATGGACAAATATTTCCAATGATCCTTTGAAAGGGCAATCCTCAGCAGAGTTTTTCGCTAAATTCCCGCTGGTTACACATAAGAAGTTGGCTAAACGTACAGAACGTCCAAAGAAAGTGAAGATGTTGGCTAGTGATTTCATTGATGATTCGCTTTATAATCCAAATTATGGTTACTTCCCGAAACAAGCTGAGATTTTCCAAGCTACAGAACCATTCAATTATAATGAATTACAAGATACAGATGAATTTGTGATCAATTGGCAAAAACAATATGCCAAATATGATGATTCTTCTAAAAAGGAATTACAATTATGGCATACTCCAGTGGAATTATTTCAACCACATTATGGTGAAGCAATTGCAAGATTCTTACTAGTCAATTATAAATTAAACTTATATCCATATCATGATTTGATTATTTATGAAATTGGTGGTGGTAATGGTACTTTAATGACAAATATTTTGGATTATATACGTCAAATGCAACCTGAAGTTTATAAGAAAACAAGATATAAAATCATTGATATAAGTAAAAATTTAAGTGAAAAGCAAAAAAAGCAAAGTGTTAAGCATGGATTTAGGAAACATGATTCTAAAGTTGAAATTATAAATAAATCAATTTTTGATTGGAAAGAATTTGTACCAGAACCTTGTTTCATAGTTGGGTTAGAAGTTTTAGATAATTTAGCTCATGATATGATTAAATATGACATCAATACAGGTAAACCGTATCAAGGTTATGTTGTCATTGATGAAGAAGGAGATTATCATCAAATGTTTTCACCTGAATTGAGTGCAGATAGTGCAGGTTTCTTGGGAACAAGAGGACTTGATTTTTTAAACACACCTTATTCAAAAATGAATGGATTAAATCATCCATTGAATGAAAATAAATTTTCACAAAAATGGAAAAATATGTTCATACCTTTTAATAATTCATTATCAACAACAGAATTTATTCCAACAAGATTATATAAATTATTTGAAATTTTAAATGAAAAATTTCCTGAGCATCAAGTTATTTTATCAGATTTTGATTCTTTACCAAATGGATCAGAAGGTTATAATTCCCCTGTTGTACAAACAATTTTAAAAGAAAAAGCTGTAACAACTTCAACATTCATGGTTGATCCCGGATTTTTCGATATAATGTTCCCAACAAATTTCCATATAATTAGAGATTTATATATAAAAATGAGTGGGAAATTAATAAGAACTTCAAAACATTCAGAATTTTTGGAACAATGGGGTGATATTGAAGCAACTACAACTAAAAGTGGTGAAAATCCAATGTTGACATTTTATCAAAATGCTTCATTTTTATATAATTGAATTAAAGTAATTTGCATAGGCATGTTTAGCATATTTTTATTTATTTATACTATTTATTACATATACACAAAGATTAATTAAAATTATTCAAAAGAAGCATATGTAAATATCAGCTATAAAATTTTGTCGACTACTTTATAATATTGTCATATATAAATAAATTATAAATCATATATTAATAAAATCAAAACGAATGACCGGTCCTCCATGATAAATATATAGTTACATATTAAAATTCTATATAACAAACATTATTCTATCCTTTATAAATTGGTAAATTAATGAACCAACTTCACCCATATTAATCAAAACCACCACCACCACCTAAAAAGTCTAACTATAAAAAAAAGTATCCATAAAATCACATATAATGTATAATAAATTGAACAAAAAATATCCTTAAACATGAACAAACATAGTATAAATATTGCAGTAAAAAAAAAAAACAGAAAAGACTCATCAAGAGCCCTTCAAAAAAAATAAATGTATGGGATCTAAATGATTAAATCAAGTATAAATATAATATAAAAAATCAAAAAAAGCATAATTGAATATTGAAAATTGTCATAAATTATTGATATAATAACAGTATTATAACACAATCTAGAAGTATAATTCTGATACTAAAGTTTTCCCATCTAAAATGAACTCCATGACCAGTCTGCAGGAACAGTAGTACCAGCTTCTCTTTTATCCTCACCTAATGGATTTTGTTCCATTTCTAATTGTTCTTGATGATGATCATCATTAATATTTGTAATGACATCTTGATTAGTCTTTTTTAAAGAATCTGGGAATAATTGTTTATCAACTTGTTTAAAATTATTGATTAAAAAATTTGACCATTGTTTATTACAATTAAAACAAACTTTTGCTAAAATACCATCAATATCAAATTCACAATTATAATTTAATTTTGATTTTGATAATAAACAATTTGAACAAAAAATTAATCCACATTTCCTACAATGATGACGTCTATTGATTAATGTGAAAATTCTATTACAATCAGTACAATTTGTAACTGAATTGTTTGGTTTCCAATGTTCATGAGATAATTCATTTCCTGTTGTTTCAATAGAATCTTCATTATTTGTCAAATCGGAAAGGGTTTGTGCTGAATTTGATGTATTGAATGGTGATAATGGTGAATTAAATGATGATGGATTTATAAGGTCTGAAGTTGTTCTTAAAACACATGGGACATAATTTGGTACTTTTGGATCATCTATTGGTCTAAGAGGTGCCATGGAGAATTTTAAGGTATTTTTAGAAGTAAATTGATAGATTGATTCATTTGAATTTTTCTTTGATGGTAAAGGTGTTGAATAATATGATGATGAATTTGTAGTTGAATTTAAATTGACATTTGATGGATGTTGAGAAGGTTCATGATTTGAGATAACATTTGATGAGTTTTTATTGTTTAAATAACTCTCTATATTATAAACTTTATCACCTAATGAAGATGAAGTAGTTTGCCTAGGGGGTGATGATGATGAAGAATGTGATTCTGAAATTGAAAAATGTCCTATATCAAATTTTGCAGGTTGATAAGTTGATTTAGGATTTGAGGTTTTATTTGTATTATTAACGGTGGTTGATTTTGGTAATATAGATGAGTCAATGTTTGTTGTAGCACGTCGACTGTTTAGTTTGCTTTCCTGTTGAGATTTATCCATCAAATCATTTGATTCAAAATTAACTGAAACTGAGCCTATATCATCTAATGACTTTTTTGATTGAAATTTAGGAACTCTAATCTGTTCATCATAATCCAGTAAAGGATCATCTGGAGAAACACAAGGTCTGATTAAATTACCGTCACCATTTGATATCGATGAAAATGTTCTCCCACTGTTGGTTCTCTTGTTATTTGTATCAGCAGTTGTAGTGGTATAATTGTTCCCATTTGACTCTGATGAATTTGGAATGATATCAGAAATGACGGAATGTCTCTTTGCGTGTGAATAAACTGGTTTCTTTGAGAATGAAAAATGCTCTGAATTCATCTAAAACTCCCCTTTTACTTTTCTCTTTCTAACTCTTTCGATCTCTATATTATTATATTGTTTTTGTCTTGATGAAGTTCCTGATCTGATTCTTTGACAGCTTATTTAAATGCTATGTATGACAAATTTCAGAGGAAAGCAGCCAATTACCAGCAAACGTCCGAAAGAGGTAATATTCCGCTTTGGGAAGGTGGGTATATCTGAGCATGCCCCTGATGACAGAATTTATTATGTGAAAGTATGGAAATAGAGGACTAAGAAACTTAGAAAAATGGTGTATGTATAGATAAGGGTCTCCAATGACTATTTATCACAAAATATAAGACTATTTTTAAGTAAATCTATCCAAAATCTACACTCTCAGCTGAACATCACCGGTGTAAATCACAGTCCTAACAAATCCCGCGAAATCTTCACGAAAAAAAATCTCAAAAAGTGAAAAATCTATAATACTCGAAAAATCAATATGGTCCATTGATTGATATTCATGATCTAGAATTATTGACATTATATTTTCTCCTTTTTGAATTCTCACACACCACATACAATACACACCATACCCACAATGATGTCTCTCAGAACCAGACTCCTAGCAGGTGCAAGACGTTATCAATCCACAGGTCCAGTTGTTCAAGTATATAAAACACCATCAATTTCATATATTGATGAAAATCAAAAAATTCCTGGTCTTTTAAGTGAGAAAGGTTTAGAAAATGCATGGTATAAACGTGCTGAATTATATTGTGAAGGATTAAACCATGAAATTGCTAGATCCGGGTTAGCACCTCATGATATTGATGTTTTAGTTAAAGAATATGCAAAATCTCCATCAAAATTAAATTTATTTAATAATGCTTCATTACTTTCAAATTTAGAATTTGCTTTTAGATCAATTGGTGAAGTTAGAAGTTCTAAAACTATTGATTTTAATCGAAAATTAGATGAATCTTCAATTTTACAAACTCCAAATTTATCTCAAAAAATTGAAAATTTACCAACTGATGATGAATTTGTTAAATGGATAAATTCATCATTTGGTTCAATGTTGGAATTTAAAACCTTGTTGTTGAACTCTGCATCTGCTATAAATGGTGATGGTTTTACATGGGTAGTTGCTAAGAAAACAAAATCAAATGATCAAAAAGATGAATATGATGATTTATTTATAATGAATACTTATAATGCCGGGACACCAAATAATTCAATTAAATTTGGTCAAATAACTGAATTAACCAAAAAATTACAAGAATTGAAAAATGAACATGATATTCATACAACAACTTCATCAATTTTATCATTACAAGAAGCAAGAGAATCTTCAGGATATGGAGATTTTGAATTAAAACCAATTTTAGCTTTAGATGTTTCTCCAAAAGTTTGGTTATATGATTATGGTGTTTTTGGTAAGAATCAATATTTAGAACAAGTTTGGAATGCTATTGATTGGGATATTGTTCAAAGAAGATTACCAACAAGAAGTTCAAGAATATCTGATGCTTTAAATTATTAATCATATAGATACTTTGTATAAGAAGTTTCTTAAGCATAAATTGTATATAGCATGAACATAAACGTATAAAGATTCAACTTTTGTTGTAGCATAATTATAGTATTTCTACAAAATTTTTGTTAATTAATATAAAATGTCTTTGAAATTTCTGATACCTTTATATAACAAAAAATCAATTAAATGATTGAACTCCAATATCTAATTTCTTTTAATAAAGTTAAAAAAAAACACATAATTAGCTATCATCATAAAATTATAGCAAAGAAAAGTGAAATGAAAATAAAAAATCACACATAAAAACAAAACAATGAAATACAATTATAAATCCCAATTAAACAAAATCTTTGAAAAAAAGTTCTCCTAAAATCCCAGCTTTGGAGACTTGGAATACTCATATAATTTGAACATGAACAATTAAAATCAAAACCATTTGGAAAACAATAAATTCATATATAATAAAAAACCCATAAACAACTAGAAATACAAAAGACAACCAATAGCTTTTTAATTTTTATTGTTTTTATAAAGTTGGATATTTAAAGAAAACGATAGATTGTAACTTATTCTTTCTAAAATTCCTCTAAAAATTATGGTATATTCTATATGTCATTAATAAAATTATTGTGGGGTTTTCAATTCATAATAATGATTTAATCTATTGATTAAATTCCCTAACTTCTACTTCTTCCAACTTTTAAACTTCTAACTCTTTTCAGTAAAGAATTTCCACCAGAAGATTCTGATTTTTCTGGACTAAATTTAATTGGTTCATCTTCATCAACAAAAGTTGGTGAAGGATTTCTTAATTTATTCTTGATTGATTTTTTTCTATTTAATCCTGTAGAACCACCATTTATATTAGAATCCTCTTGTGATGCAGGTGCACCATCTAAAAATGTTGAAGAACCTAAACCTAAAGTAGTTTCACCATGAACTGGAATAGCTTTTTTATTTGTATCAAAATTTGTTATATTTTCAGTGTTTTTAACAGCTGCGATTGTTGATTGTGATTGATTTGATGAATTATATTGAATGTTTCCTAATAATGGAGGTTGATTTATACCATTACCATTACCATTAGTTAATGGTTGACCTTGTTTTCTTGGAGATACTGAAGCAGTATATAAATCATCATCACCAAATTCACTTGTTCTACCCATAACATAATCTATTGTGGAATCTTTAATATTTTCAGGTGCTTTACCTTTAATTGAATTATTTGGACCATCTGCAGGGAAGGCTAAAACTGGAGCAGATTTTTGATTTTTATTACGTTGTGGAGTACAAGCATCAAATGGACCATCATGATGGAAAGTACCACCAAATAATCCAGTAACATCTAATTTATCAATAGTATCAACATTTTTAGGTTTTGGTTTATTTTTAGAATCTTTTGATTTTGAATGTTTTTCAGATGATGAACGATGAGGTCTTGAAGATTTAGATTCACTTGCTTCACGATTAGAACGAGAACGATGAGAACGTTCTTTATCACGATGTTCTCTTGATGAATGTTCTCTTGAACCGGATTCTCTTGTACGACCAGAAGTTGAACGATGAGGTCTTGTACTAGAAGATTGTTGATTTGTTCCATCACCAGGCCATTCACGATTTACTCTTGTTCTATGTCTTTCAGAATCACTTTGAGAACGATGAGGTCTTGAAGATGATGAAATAGATGATGATTTTTCTCTTGGATATGAAGATTTAGAAACTTTTGGACCAGCAGCTTCTTCATAAGATGGAGGTAAATCAACTTGTTGTTGTGATGAACGTTCACGGTCTTGTTCTTGTTGTCTTAAACGTGATTTTTCATTTGTAGTGGAATAATAATCATTATTATTTGAAGGATAAGTTGGAGGAGTGTTTGAACTATCTTCAGCACCACCGCCTGTTGAACTTGGTGACAGGGAATCACTGAATGGGTTATTTGATGAACGACGTGGCATTCTTCTGTTGATTAAAATGGTTAGTTTGGTGGGCGCTTAATTGATAAGGAAATAGGGAACAACGAGTGGAGAATAAGGCTGTTGAGATCAAGAACTAAAAGGGGGATGACTTTGACTTTGACTTTGACCAACGAGTGTAACTATGGTTTAAAACTGACACTATTTGATTAATATCCAACTTCTCAAGTTTTCAATAGTTTTATTTTGTTGATTTTTGTTATTTTATTGCTTTGAATTTGAATTTGCTGTTCTTTTGTAGCAAATGTGAATTTGATTTTGATAAACAAAAAAATTCGCGAATCTTAAATTCACAGCCCAAAAATTTGAAATTTAAATGGAAACGAAAACAAAACAAAACAAAAAACAAAATTTGATTTATAATTGAAATTGAAATTGGATCATTTAATTCATATTTGTTTTATGATTGTATTGTATTGTATTCTTTTGATCTCTTGATGTTCTTGTTCTTATTCTTCTTTCTTATTCTTCTTTCTTACCAAATTTCTCGCTCTTCCCTAAATCTCAGTTAATATTATTATACTCACGGTGGAGGCATAACACCTAAACTACCTTGTGAACCCACTGAATTCTGAGAATTCGATCTAGAATAACCAGGTCTTACCACTGGAGGAGGTTGTTTAAACAATTCCGAATCTTCATCATCACTACTAAAACTCATTTGACTTTGATTTCTTGCAACCCATTGATTAAAATTTTGTTGTTGTTGATCTGTGCTTCTAGAATTATGTCCAATATTTGAATCAAATGATGCATTTCTAAATGGATTATTTGTGGAAAAAGGTCTGGTGTTTTGGGTATAATTGGTTCCCCTGACACTGGAAACTCTATGCACAGACATTATAAGACACTATTGATTATTAACTATTACTTGATACAACTTTTCAATCAAATTTTATTAAAATTCCAATGATTTTGAATTGAATTTCCGTTAATTCTAGTTTTTTTCAAGATTTCACTTTTTTTGGGGCAGAATTTTAAGAAATATTAGGGGAATTCCGACTGGCGCGTAAAATTTCTTAACTATGGGAAAGTCACGTGCTAACCAAGTCGGATTTCAAATATGTATGTAAATAATTAATACCCATTGATATCTTTTCAGATCTGTTGTACCTGAACAATTGATACTTGACCCAGGAATATATATACACTAGGAGGGTTTCTATATGAGGTCATGGGGGTATTGGTAACACTGGTGTTTCTTTTATCATCCACTTTAGTTTATTATCATAGTTATAGATATGTTTGGTTTAATATTATAAAATTATTTGAATTTCAACAAATCAGTAATAAAAATAGTTATATTAAAAATAATGATCAAGATGATAATAGTTTTATAAGGATTATGAAAAGTGATGAACTAAATATTTCCAATTTGAAATTGATTAATTATTTGAAGAAAATTTCAAGAATTTCATTTGCAATTACATTAACTTCATCATTTATAATTATTGAATTCATTCTTTATAAATTTATGTTTCAAGATGATCAAGAACAACAACAACAATCAAATGATGGATTTGAATCATCATTTTGGTATTTAAATGTCATAATAATAACATTAAACTTAATAATCATACATCCATTATTGATATTAATATTATTAATTAATAAATTTTTCAAATCTGAAATATTGAATAAAAATCCAATAAAATTAGGAACAATTTTAGGGATTTTCATGACTTGGTTAATAATTTTATGGAATTTCCATAATTTAATTAAGATTGATATTGAAATAGATCCAAATTCTTCAATAATTTCACAAATTTTATTGAAAATTTCTATAATTGGAATAACTTTAATTTCTGTATTGAATGGTATTGGTTCTTTTTCAACAGTTTATTATAATGCTTATATAAAGTTGAAAAATTATGGTAAAATTATAAATGATAAATCAAATGAATCAAATTTGAAAAACTTGAGAGAAAATTTTGAAAATATAAATTCATTAATCATTAAAAAGGAAGATGAATTAAATCAATTAACTTCAAGTGCTAATGATGATCAAGATGATGGAGTACAAAGAAGACCAAGTCTTTATTCTAAGAAATCATTTATTGATGTTCATAAATTAAATCCTTTTAAAAATCAACCAAATTTAAATCAAGATCTTCAAACTGAATTAAATTCATTGAAAACTATAAAGAATGATTTATATCTCAAGATTAACAAATTAGAAGAGATTAATCAATCTTTACAATATAAACCAGCTTCAAATCATTTAGAATTAATGACAATGTTTATACAATATGGAATTACAATATATTGTTTTTTCAAAATTATTCAAGTTTTTATAGTGGAATTAATTTCCATATTTAATTCAACTTTTAGAGGTATATCAACAAAAGAATCAGATCCTTTAGTACTTACAATAATCAAAATTTTAAAAATATTCATTACAATTGAAGATGATTTTGGTTTAATTAATCAATTAAGTTTTTTAATATCAGGTATATTATTCATATGTTCTATAAATGGAGTTTGGTTAACTTTTAAACATTTTTATAAATTCATTCCAATTGATTTAACAAAATTAAATCAAATAACAACAACTGGTGATGTACCAAATCAATCAGTTTCAATTATAAAAAATTTATTAATTAGTGAATTAACAGGGATTTATATATTGGCTACCATGTTAATATTAAAATCAAATTTAACTCAGGATTTTAATTTAAAATTAAATTCCCTGTTGTTTATAAATAATAATGAAACAAATTTGATTATTCAATTGAATTCTTGGTTTGATAAAATTTATTTAATTAGTTGTGGATTAACATTTTTAAGTATTAAGATTGGTGAATATTTAAATCATGATGAAGGATTTGAAAATCAAGATATAGCAGATAAGATTGTGTAACCATTAAAGCATATAAACATAGCATTACAACTTTTCACTTTGTTTAATCAATTCATTTGTGTTTTTTTGTAATTCTTTATGATTATCTCTAGATGTAACTAAATCCCTAAGGATATTACTCGTGAGTTTCTCAACCGTTTTCAATGCCTCTTTCGTGGCTATCAAAGTGTTGAGTTCCTCCTTGTGTGACATATGGTCTTGGTAACTATAAACACCTCCTTCAATGCCTATAAACAATATTCAGTCAATCAAAGATGTTCAAAGATGTTCAAAATTGAAAGGTATAAAAGAAAAAAACGCGAAAAACGCCAGAAAATGCTCTGTCAAAATTTTGCTGTTCAATTTGTTTGTTTGCTGCTAATTTCAGTTAAACCTCAAACAAAACAAAATTTAAATTTAAACTGAATTTAATTGAATCTGAGATTGATTGTTCTTTCTTTTGGTGTTTATACATTGGTTATTAGACTGATTATTGAAGTCAATTAGAATAATGTCAACTGAACCAAATACTTTCGTTTCAAACCCGGCCTTAGAAGGCTACAATGTCATCAGAGAAACTTGGAAACGATTCTATAACCCAGAAAAGGGCACTTTTACCACCCCAAGACCAAAAGTATCTGGTGTTTATGGTGATGAAGGTAAATTTAATGTTTGGTCAGTAGCTGTTGTTGCTCAATCAATCATGGATGGTGCTAAAATTTATCCTCAAGAATTAGGTCCATTAATTGATCCAACTGTTAAAGCTCTTTATAAATATAGATCTCCTCAATATTATGGTTATTGTGCTGTGGAAAATTTCCAAGGTAATGAAGATATTTATTATGATGATGATGCTCAAGTTGCTTTTGCTTTAATTGGTGCTTTTGAAATCACTGGTAATAAAGAATATTTAGATAGAGCAAGAGAATTGGTTCGTTATTTAATGGGTGGTTGGAATAAAGATTCTAAAGCTAAAAATCAAGGTGGTGTTTTATGGCATCGTGATAAACCTTATATTAGTGCAATTTCAAATTCTGAATGTGCTCTTGCAGCTTTAAGAATTGCAAGATTAATTCCAAATGAATCAAAAATTTATATTGATTTTGGTGCTAAGGCAATTGAATGGTTAATTAAATATTTATTAGATGATGATTATTTAGTCTTGGATGGTATTGATAAAAATTCTGATGGTGCAAATGGTATGAAATGGACTTATAACACTGGTGTTGCATTAAGTGCAGCTTCTCATCTTTATGAATATACTAAAGATGATAAATGGAAACATCATGCAAATGAATTAGCTGCAGCTGCAACAAATAAAAATAAATCATTATTTGATAGAGATTATGGTGAAATGGATAGAAGATATTATAGAGATCCTTCTTATTTTGTTCAATTATTATTTGAAGGTTTTGCAGATTATTTATTATTAGTTGGTGATAAAGTTCCAGAATCTACAGGTAATGCAATTAGAACTCAATTAAAACGTCATTTAATTTATTTTAGAAAATATCTTTATGATTCAAATGATGGATTATATTTTCAAATGTTTCAAGCTTTCCAAATTTCTGAAGATATTTATAAATTATATACTAAACAATTTGGTTCTTCTAAAAAATTTAGTCCAAATAGTGAAGAAAGAGCTCAAGAAGGTAATGGTTCATTAGAAAGTAAACCTTTAGTTAAAACTTTGATTGGTTCTGGTTCTGCTGCAAGAATTTGGTTCCAAGCTGCAAGAGTTTTACCAGAATTACAAGATGATTAATTGATCTTTGAGCTAGTTTGAAATTGAACAATATAATTCTCCATGTTTTTTGCTTCTTTTTTGCTTGTTACTATTAAATTTGATTTGTTACTTTATGTTCCCCTTTTTATATACTATAGATGCTTTAAAATTTGATTTCTGGTTATTTCATTACATTAAAAGCATTTGATTTTTATATATACAATTATATACTGTGTTATTAAATAAAAAAAAATTGATTTCGTGATCATCATCACTCTACAATATTGTAATATATAATATACAAATTTATGCATTAGTTAACTATATCTATACAATCTATCAAACTTTAATTTGATTTAATTTAAATGCAGGAGTTTTTGGTAATAAACTTGAAGGTCTTTCAATAATGATTAATTCACCATTATTTAAACAATTAGCAAACAAGATTGATTTATATTTTTTAGTAATTCCAAATGGTATACCATCTTTATTATTACCATTATTTTCATCATTATTTAATTCTTTTATAAAATCTGCACGTTCAATTAAACGATCTTGATAATTTAAACCATCATTTTCAAAATCTTGTTCTTCAACATCACTTTCTTCAAATTCATAATCCATATCATCAAATTCATTATTTAATCCAATTTGATGACCTTGTCTATTACGTTTTTTGGCATCTTTTTTAGAATTATTAATTGGAATGTTTTGATTTAATTGGAAAAATGAAATCCAATTTGATCCATATATCCAAATTTTATAATTATCGGTTTTATCTAAGAAACAACCATGTGCAATTTCTTGTTGATTTATAAATTGTTTTGGTAAAAATTCTGAATTAATTTTGGACCAATTTGTTAAATGTGCTGAAGAATTTAAACCATCAAAATTTAATTCAAATTCATAAATTTTATTTTCTTGAGTTAAAACAATTAAAGTGTTTTGTAATGTGATTTCTAATTTATTTATAAAACTTGATAATCTTAAGAATGGTTTACTTTGAATTGATTCATTTGTTGATGATGATGATTCTAAATCTATAATATCAATTGCACCTGAAATTCTTGATACAATTAATTTTGAATTATTTGAAGTTAATTTTAAATTATTAATGTTTTCAATATATGTTAATTTTGATTTATTTTTTGGTAAATCACTTAATTCATATTCAATAATTGATTGTTCATCTTCTTCATCTAAAGAAATTTTAAAAATTTCATTTTCTGGAGTTGATAAAATTAATGATGAACTATCATTAAATAATAAAAATTTTGAACCTTTTGAATTTAATTCTGGATGATTAATTTTATTAATTTTTAACTTATTAGAATTTGGTTTATTTGAAAGATTAAATAATTTTGTTGTTGATAATCTACCAACTGCTAATTTTGAACCATCTTGAGAAATTGCAACTGATGTAATATTATCTTCATCTGCTAAAGTTAATTTAGAAACTAATTCATAAGAATCTTTATAATTACCAATTAAGAAATCATCATCTTTATCTTCAACATCTTCAACATCTTTCATTTCTTCATCTTCTTGGTCATCTTCTTCTTCATCAGATTCTTCCACAATTTTACGTTTTAATAATTTCCATATTTTAATGGTTTGTTCTTGCCATAGTATGATTAAATTTTGTGATTTATTCATAACAACATGTTCTTCTTGTGGGATAAATGAGATTTTTCTATATTGACCATCTGTAAATGATTTTAATGAACTTACAACAATACTTTTTTCCACACCACCAGAAATTAAGAAATTATAATTTTTAGATTCATATGATGTGATTGATCTAACATCATTTGAATGGAATAATCTATTTGATACAATATTCCATTTCAATTGTTTCTTGTTGGAGTTACTATTATTATTATTTGAATCAATTAATTGTAATTTGAAAATTTTTCTATCAACACCAGCTGAAAAAATTGATTCATTATTAAAATCTGTTGTTAAAGTTAAAATATCTGCAGCATGAACTTTAAAACTTTGTAATAATGTAAAATGTGTAAAATCCCAAATTTTAATTGAACCTGTTGAATCACCACTAATAATTTGATTTTGAATTGGTAAATATAATACAGACCATACTAAAGTTGATTCAGTTTTAGATTTATCAACTCTCATTGTAGAAATTAAACTATATTTATGAATTTGAAAATCACCACCAAAATTCCAAACTCTAATACGACCATCAGCACAACCACCAATAATATAATCATCATTTTTCCAAACAACACTTAAGATTCTTGATTCTTGTCTTTGTAAAAATGCATAATGTTCAATAGAACCTGGACCACCAGAAATATCAACAACAACTATAGTACCATCATCACAACCCACTGCAATCTTATCTTGAGATTCATTTATAGAAATTGACCAAATTATAGCTGCATTACAATCAAAATGTTTTAATGGTTTACCAGTAATTAAATTCCATTCAGTTATAACAGTAGAACCACCAATTGAAAATAATCTTGGTTCTTCATTTTCTCTTGTAGACCATACAAGACCTTCTATACTTCTATCTTTCCCACCGTATAAAGTAGTTTCATGGATCCATTTATTCTTTGGATTCCATATTTCAATATCACCATTATTTCTTGCAACTGCTAAACGTAAATCTTGTGAAGAAAATTTCTTTGTAGATTTATGACTAAAACTTAAACTTGTGATTGTATGTGGTTGATAGTCCACAAACCTACAGCGATGAATGTCAACAACCATGTTCTTTGTCTTGAATAATCACAAATGAAATTTAATTATTGGTTCATGCGATGAGCTTCTTCTTATTATTTTTATGTTTAACAGGTATAAACAAAATTTTTTTTTATGATCGGTTATGTAATCGATTATGTAATTCAATTTGTATTATGTAATAAGATTTTCAGATTCACGTAATCTGCCATTTTGATTTTTTACCCGGATTTTGAATTTTAATTTTCGCGATTTGTTTGTTTTTGTTTTTGTTTTTGTGGATTTTAATTTGCATATACATAAAGATTTGGTGTTTACAAATTTGATTCTACTCTTGAGGAACTATAGACAGGGTGGTTGACCATGAGTAAGGCACAGGAGAAGCATACAAAGAGGCTAGCAGACTCTCTCACCACACCAGAACATATCCAGGAAGCGTTGGCTAAAGTATTCCAAGAGTCACAATCAAGTCTTGCAGGTCATAAGAAACAAGTTATTTTATTGAAAACAATCCAACAAAGAGCTTTTGAATTGCATCATGAGGACAGTTTCAACTATTTCTTCTGTAAATTGATCAATAAGGTGTTGGTATTGAAGAAATCAGAACCAGTTGGTGATAAAATTTCTAAATTGGTGGAGAAATTTATTGATTCTTTAAATAAATTATATGAAGATGATCCAGATGATGATAATCTGTTTACAAGGTTCATTCAATATTTGATTACTCATTTACTTAGAGGTATTGATTCCAAAGATAAAAATGTTAGATATAGAGTTGTTCAATTTTTAAATTATGCTATTGCTGGTCTGAATGATATTGAAGAAAATTTATATCAATCACTTTCTTGGGGGTTAGATAAAAGAATATTTGATAAAGAACCATCCATTAGAATAAAAGCTCTTCATTGTGTTGCTAGATTTCAAGATCCTGATTCAACAATTAATAAATTAGATGAAGCTACTGCAAAACTTCTGGTTGCAATTCAAAATGATCCAAGTCCAGAAGTTCGTCGAGCTGCTTTATTAAACTTACCTAAAACTGAATTAACTAAAAATTATTTATTAGAAAGAGCAAGAGATACAAATTTCATCAACAGAAGATTAGTTTATTCCAAAATTATTAAACAATTGGGTGATTTTAGAACTATAGATTCAAGTTATAGAGAAAAACTTTTATTATGGGGTTTAAAAGATCGTGATGAATCTGTTCAAAAAGCTTGTGTTCACATGTTATCATATGATTGGTTAAACACTATTGATGGTGATTTACTAGAGTATTTACAAAGATTAAAAGTTCAAGAAAGTGAAGTTGGTACTTTAGCAATGAAACATTTTTTCATTAATAGAAAAGATCTTATTGGTAAAATTTCATTTACTAAAGATATTTGGTTAGATCTTTCACCAGAAACTGCCTTTTTAGCAAGATCTTTTTATTATCATTGTTATGAAAATACATTAAATGATGCTATAGATTCAAATTTCCCAGAATCTGCAGAAATGGCAAATTTATTAATTCAATATCTTCAAGGAAGAAAAAATTTAGAAAAATTAGAATATGCTGCAGATTTTGATTTTATAATTGAACAACTTTTAACAATTAGTATAAATTATGATTTTAGTGATGAAATTGGTAGAAGAGCAATGTTACAAGTTATTAGATCTTCTTTAACTAATGATAGACTTACATCAAAATTAATTAAAGTTTCTTTACAAGTTTTGAGAAAATTATCAATTAATGAAAAGGATTTTTGCTCCATGGTTAGTGAAATTATAACTGATATTAGAGATAATGATCTTGATCAACAAGAAGCTAATGATGAAGGACAACAAGAGCAAGACCAAGATCAAGAAGAACAAGATAATGAAGAAGAACAAGAGCAAGATCAAGATCAAGACCAAGACCAAGAACAAGGACAAGATCAATATAAAATTAAAGAAAGTAATAAAGCTATAATACATTGTTTACAAATCACTAAAGCAATGTTGGAACAAATTCATGAACCATCAAAGGGTAATATCTCTATAACTTCATTACTTGATACATTAATTCATCCAGCTGTTAAAATTCCATTAACTGAAATAAGGGAATTAGGTACTGAGGCTTTAGGTTTATGTTGCTTATTAGATGCTGAATTAGCTACAGAAAAGCTGTATCTTTTCGGGTTCTTTTTATCAAGAGGTCATGTTGATTTGAAAATAATTTCATTGAAGATTATGTTTGATATTCTGTCAGTTCATGGAGCTAAAGTTTTAGACGTTCATGAAGGTGTTGATTCACTATCACTGCATAAACTGTTATATAGAACATTGAAAGATAAAGATAATATGGAGCTGCAAGCTTTAGCTGCTGAAGGGTTATGTAAATTATATCTTGCAGATATTTTATCAGATGATGAACTGTTTGAAACTTTACTTTTGACTTATTATAATCCAGAAAATAGTAAGAATCAAGCAATGTTACAAGCATTTACTTTTTGTTTACCAGTTTATTGTTTTTCTCATCCACAACATCAAGAAAGAATGAGTAGAGTTGCTGCTGATGGTTTTAGAAGACTTTATGAAACACATACAAATGAAATTTCTGAAGAAGAAGAAATGGTTATGGTTTCACCTTCAATAATTATTCAACAAATTATACATTGGACAGATCCAAATAATGTTGTTAATCAAGAAAAAGAATATGTTGAAACATCTCCTTCACATGTTAATTTAGCAAGAAATTTATTAGAAACATTTGATTCAATTGAAAGTATAAAATATAGAAAACTTATTTTACAAAGTTTAAACAAATTGTATATTGGTGATAAAGTTCCATTTGATAATTTAAAAGAGTTATATGAAATGTGTGTTGAATGGTCAAGTGGATTAATTGATCAAGATACTCCATCTAAAAATTCTTTCAATAAATTTTATGTGAAAATTGAAGAATTATATCTTTCAATTCAAAGTAAAGAATCAGAAAAAATTACAGATGAAGATCAAGAATATTCTGTTATTTTAGAGAAGCATGGTGAAGAAGAAGAAGCTGAAAAAGATGAAGTTGATGAAGAATTTGAACAAGAACAAAGTAGAATTATTGAAGAGAGTCAAAAATCAGATCATCCTGCTCTAGATATTGAAAGTGATCAAAATTCTGATAATGAAGATCAACATTCAAAAATTTCAAAAACATCAAATACTGAAGAATCAGATGAAGAAGTGGAGGATGCTAATAATAATAATCATTCAATTCAAAATCATGAACCATCCAAAATAAAATCTAAAGCTAATCAGTCAAGTATAGATGAAAGTGATGATGATAATGAAGATGATAGTAGGTTTGAAAGTTTTGCAGGTGATGAAACACCAAGTGAAGTTAGTGTTGATTTTGATAATGATGGAGATTATTCAATGGAATAAAAAGTTAAGATAATGAATTTGTATTTTTTTTTTGTGTTTTGTTTATATATTATATATACGTTTAATGTATTATAATGTCAGAAGTAAGATCTTGTACAGATTAATATTTTATGGATAATTACTATTGAGTTTTCTACCTTGTTCATGAGCTTATATTACCATTCGCGCATTTCATAAAATTTATAGAGAATTTAAAAAATATCGTTTATAGTTTATAGTTTATAGTCTAATTTTTACTTGATTTCATGACATTTTAACTGATTTTTCGTTTAATCTCATATCAGCAGCTTCGGTGTTTGAGCTTTTAGATTCAGTCCAAGATACTACTTCTATTATGAAACCAAATAAAAATTAAAAATTTTAATTCTTTGATGATTTGTCAAATATGGACCATGATGGATAATGGGTCAGAATAGTAGATGAATGTATCTCAACAGGTAATGGGTAATGAATCAACAAACAATAATAATTTAGAGGAATTTAAATTCTAAAATGGTATATGGAGATTTGTGGCTAGTACATTTAAATCACATTAGCCATTACAGAGCCATGTTGATTACTGTTTTGAATTTTGACTTATAATTATGGATGATACTGTTGTTTATTGATTGTTCTGTTTGAAAAGATGGACGTCATGAATATATAGTGTTTATGTTTTTGTATTGATTGTAGTTTTGATAGATTTGTTATTTGTATATTGTCTAAAGTACTACAATTATATATCAATAATTTGGTTTTAATTTAAAATGTATATACGTTCAATGTAATATGATATCATATATTATACATGAATGAATTAGTAAGATCTTGTGCAGATGAATAGTTAATTTCTATTGAGATCACTTACTATTCCTTTCTCATAATTCTTAGTCTGGTAAATAATTACCAATAATTCGCGCATTTCATAATATTTTAAATTTTAATAGATTATGAAAATCGTTTAACTTTATACTATATATATTCTACATTATTAGCTCTTGAGTGTTTTCTTTTCGGCCATCATGTTTCTTGACAATTTTTTTGATGTTTATTAACTATATTGATTCCAAATGATAATTATGTCGAATGGGCTATTTGTTATGATCAGTTTGTTGAATTTACCTCCTTTTATTATTTTTGAGGATATTTCATTCAATCAGATACAATGAATCTAAGTTTTAATCAAAATTATCAGCATAACGTCTATCAGATGAAAACCTTATTACCTTATGATTTGATGAGTTAATTGGTAGCTCGAACGTGTTCAGGTGGTATATGGTAAATTAAGGTTAATCATTACCATTAGCCATTACAGAATCATAGATCGATTACTGTTTTGAATTTTGACTTATAAAATATGAATGATACTTTTGTTTATTGATTGTTCTGTTTGAAAAGATGGACGTCATGAATATATAGTGTTATGTTTTTGTATTGATTGATTGTAGTTTTGATCTAGTTATTTGTTCAAATACTACAATTATTTTATTTTTCATAAAGTATTTTATATAGAATTAAAGAACTTTATTATATAAGTTTATATGTTGTACAATGCATATATGCAATAATCATAAAAAGAATGAACAAAATGACAAAATTAAAAGTGAAGATAAAAAAAAGAAAGTGTAAAGCAAAATTAAAAGCAAATGTTTTATATTATATTATAGCTTGAATTATTATTATTATTAATCTTTGTTTAATGGTTTTCTTGCAACGAATAATTGCATTGGAGTAAATAATTTTTGTTTACCACCTTCAACTAAACCAACAGCAGCTTCTTCCAAGGCTAAAGTAACTTGTTTTGAACCTTTTGGAGCTAATTTTAAAAATTCTAATAAACCAACAAATCCAGTTGTAAATTTTCTACCTAAAGAACTTGTTCTAACAAAAGTACTTAAATCATATAAACTTTGAACATATTTTAAATCACCAGTTAATGGATAATACCAAGGGATATCATCATCTAAATCAGCTAAATCTTGTTCATAATCAATTTCAAAACCAACATTTTTTAAAGCTTGTCTTGCAACATCAACTTTATACATTTTTGGAATACCATCACCTAATTCAATTTCATATGCAATTTTACGATGTTCAGGATTTGATTCATCATAATTTTCAGTCATAACCCATTCATAAACACCAAAAACACCACCTGGTTTTAAAGTTTTGTAAATTTCACCATAAACACCTTCTAATACAGGAGCATGAACTGTAGCTTCAATTGCATATACAGCATCAAATGATTCAGGTTCAAAATCCATATTCATAAAATCACCTTTAACAAAATCTAATTGATTTTGTAATTTAAATTTTTTTGCATACCAATGAGCTTTTTCAATTTGATAATCATTATTATTTAAACCTGTAATATGAGCACCAGTAAATCTTGCAATTTCTCTTGCTGGACCACCAACACCACAACCAACATCTAAAACTTTCCAACCTTCTTTAATACCAATCTTATTAGCTAAATAATGTTCATGTCTTGCAGTAGCTTGATTAAAAGCTTCACCTGGATAATATCTTGAAAAATGGAATGAAGTACCCCAACCATATTCATAAAAATCTGTAACAACATTATAATAAGAATGAGTACTTTGATTATAATCTTCTAATCTTTTATCTTCAGCTTCTTTATCAGTTTTACCATCCCAATGTTTTAAATAATCTGAAACTGCAGTTTCTTGAGCAGATTTATCTTTGGATAAAAGAGCAGAAATACCAGTTTTTTGACCAACATCTTTACCATGTAAAGATTTTGAAAAATCAGCTTGAGTTTTTTTTAAATCGACACCTGTTGAAGACATTTTTAGAGATAGTATCAATTTGTTGAGAAATGAATGAGAATATAAACAAATGAATGTGTGTTGAACTAATTGAACAATTGAACTTTTGAAAGAAATTGAATTGTTTTTAAATGTTGAAAGAAATTTAAATTCACGGTGGTTTTTTTTTTTTTTGGTTTTCGTGTTTTTTATTTATGGAAAATGTTAAACGAGGAACGAAGGAAGGAATTTAACGAGAATTAAACGAGTGTGGTTAGGCAGAGTGTAGGCAGAGGTTAGGAAGAGGTTCTACCTAGAGCATAGGCAGACTGGACAGAAGCTGGACAGGAGATTAACGGAAGATCATCAAGTTGATCATACAAGTAAAGCTATGAATATTGAATAGATAGTTTAACTATACAATGAGTATCTCTTGTAGTCAATGTAGTCAATGTAGATGTAATTCTGTTGATGATTACTTCGTATTTAATTTCTTAGCTGATACCAATCTGTAAGAGGCTGTATATCATTTAATTTGGTCAATTCGTAATTGTTCATTGTTGATTAATGTCCATGTGATAATAATACCGTACGCCTTTTATTCGAAAGCTTCTCGGTTAATGAGTTATACGATATTATGGAGATCTGATTATTATTACTGTCCAATTCAATTACGAACTTAACTATGGGGTTATACGTCATAGATCTATTTAATATTAAACGATTACAGGTATTAGAATAATCAGTCTTTATGTCTTTATAATATATAGATTTAATATTACTTGAATAAAAGCATGATATTCACGTGATATTTAGAGTCAAATTGTTAAATTTACACTAAACCTTGGGTCTTTATAATAAAAATACATTATTGTATCATTGTATTTATGATTCTGATATAAAGATTCTCTATATAATCTTCTTAAACTATTGAGTTAACTATTCAGTTTGTATATGTACAAGTAAACTATTGTTTTATTCTTTATTGGTTATATTTGATGATCATTAAAAATATAAATTATTCGTAAATTTGAATATTGTGAATTATTCTATTGGTGATGTATATGATATGGCTGTGTGATAAATATGGATGTAAATGATTTAAGGATTCTAATCATGAGGTTTACCATTAATCTTTGGATATAAACGTGAAGCATGATAATTAATTGATGATTTCTTACCAACAACTTGAGTTTGCTATAAAAAAAGTTAGTATAAATTGGATAAAACAAAACACACAACACTCCAATACATACATTTATTTCCATACATTCTTTTAAATTTAATTCTAATGCTTTACATTCAGCTGCACCTTCACCATTTGATGACCAACAATTTAATAAAGTTGACATTACAACAACACATGGATTGATTTGTTTTTGACTATTTGGATTCTTGACACGTAGTCTTGGTAATGGGGGTAGTCTAACTGGTTTACTTGACATCTTTATATAAATATGGGAAATATAAATCAATATCAATCAAATATTTGATCTAATCTTTCACTATTTTATTCAATATTCAATGAATTTTTCAAGTAATTTTAATTTTCAATGGAAGTTCCGGGTAAATTTTATGGCCATCCGCGAATTTTTGGCACAACGACCAAATTTTTTTGGTAACATGGGTAACCGATTAAAATCAATGCAAATTTTAACAAAAAACGTGTTTTATTAAGAAAATTTCGCAATAATCATAGTTATATCTTTACATTACCATCTGCAGTGAAATTAGAGGATTATGTTATTGATTTTCTTGGATATTGTTTGTTAAGTAGTTTTTGAGATAATCAAGTTTTAAATAATTTTTGTATACATAGTAAGTGCGATACCTCTATCCATGGACACACGGCCTAATTGTAACAAGATGAAACAAGTACACATTGAATAAACAACTAGTATATTATATAAGTACCATATCATCATCATTGTCTATATAAATTATATATTCTCTGCCTAGAATCACCAACTCCCCTTCTAACCAGCTTAATTACCTTTTACCCTCCTGCCTAAATTGTATAAATTGTATCTGCCTAATTCAGATTCCCTGCCTATTCTCCCAAAACCGCGTCCCTTTGAAAAAAAGTTGAAAAGAAATCAACCAAAATTCTTGAAACCATCAACCATCAACCATTCAAACAACAACAACAACAAATCATTTAAACCAAAAGGCCACCAATCATCACCAAACAAAAGCATGGCTGATCAACACCCAAAGAGACCTCTGCCCCAGGATCACACTGTCCCTTCTCCAAAAGCTCCTAAGCTAGACTCTCCTTCTAATTCTTCAAAGGTTGAACCATCAACCACTTCAACTTCCGGGTTATATGCTGCTAATGGTGCTTCAAACCATCAACTTCAACAACATCAACAACATCAACAGACACTTCAACAACAGAAACTTCACCCTACCCAAACCATTCCATCACATTCACAAGTAAACACTGCTCCTTCAAAATCATCTTCTTCAACTTCAACTCCTACTCCTGTTCCAATTCCTACAACCACTAATACTAATACAATTGATGATGATGATCAAAATCAAAATCAACCATTTTCAAAAGCTTTAAAAAGAGGTAAAATAAAAAGAATAGATGGTAAATGGATCTTACCCACAGTAACAAGAGAACAAACTTCAGAAGCTAGAAAATTTCTAAAAAAACAAGGTGTTGAAGAATTTTTAAAATTATATTTACCAGATTCTCCAAGAGGTTCAGATATTTTATATGCTGTTGTTATATTAGGTTTTTATTCTGAAAATTTTAATGATGATATTGATGATGAAAGAAATTTAATGAAGATTGTTAAATTATTACAAAAAGCTATGAATAAAGTTTATTCAATGCGTACAAGATTAGATGATATACATACTGTGGAACATGCATTGGAGAAAATTTCAAAAGCTCAAAAAATCTTAGTATTAACAGGTGCTGGTATTTCAACAAGTTTAGGTATACCTGATTTTAGATCTTCAAAGGGGATTTATTCAAAAGTTCAACATTTAGGATTAACTGATCCTCAAGAAGTTTTCGATTTAGAAACTTTTAGAGAAGATCCAACAATTTTTTATAGTGTTGCAAATATGATTTTACCACCATTAGATTCTTATACTCCATTACATGCATTTATTAAAAATTTAAATGATCAAGGGAAATTATTAAGAAATTATACACAAAATATTGATAATTTAGAATCAAATGTTGGTATTGATCAAGATAAAATTATTCAATGTCATGGATCTTTCGCAACGGCAACATGTCAAACATGTCGTTGGAATATTGATGGTTCCAAGATATTTAAATATATTCGTGATATGGAATTACCAATTTGTCCACATTGTTTTAAAGAACGTGAAAAAAAATTATCCAAGAATGATGATTTTTATCCAAGAAGTTATGGTGTTATGAAACCTGATATTACATTTTTTGGTGAAGATTTACCATCAAAATTCCATAATTCTATAAAACAAGATGTCTTAAATTGTGATTTATTAATTTGTATTGGTACTTCATTAAAAGTTGCACCAGTTTCTGAAATTGTTAATATGATCCCAGGTGATGTTCCACAAATACTGATAAATAAAGATCTTGTTGAACATAGTGAATTTGATGTCTCGTTATTAGGTTATTGTGACCAGGTTGCAACTTATCTTTGTGATAAATTAGGTTGGAAATTAAATCATAAAGATTTTAATAAAATTTTAGATTCTGATTTAAAATTATTTCCCTTGGATGAAGATATTGGAATTTATGAAATTAAAGATAAATTTCAAATTGAAAAGGAACAACAAACAATAAATAAAACGACACCTCCACCAACAACAACAAAAACTACAACCCCACCAGCACAATAAACTCAATAAAAACCATGGAACTCAATACCCACATACCCATTTGTTTTAACTACAATACAATTCCCCCAAATTTTTGCATATAAACTTAGATAAGTTTCTTTTGCTCATATATAAAGTTGCATTTCATTACATACATACCTTTTTAATATTAATCACATAGTTTTATGTTGTTTTTTTGTGTTTTTTTCAGTTTTATTTCTAATTGATGTAATTTTAAGTGTGTAGTATATAGTTTAATATTATATAATAGTGAAAGGTATGCATGGGTAATTAATTCATATTATGATGTACAATCACATATGATAATTATATTGTTTAAGCTTATATTTACATTCTATGGAAAAATAATATATTAACGTTCATATAATTTACACATAACAATAAACAATAACCAACAATAAAATAAACCAATTTAAAACAACGTAATGATCTTGAAATTAAAGATCAACCTAAAATGTATATAACGAATAAAAAACAGTGTAATAATAAAAGTGAAAATAGACTAATTTTCTTAAAACCCTTCTAATGCCTTAATAGCTTTATTCAATCTTTTAACACTTTCATCATGTCTATCAGAATCAATAACCATATCAGCAGTTAATCTTGATAGCGAATCAACTAATCTTTCTAATAATTGTTTTTCAGTTGATTCCAAACCAATATTTTGGAACTCTTGTCCAATTATTGTCCCCTCTGTAACTTGTAATAATTGAGTTAAAGTTTCATGATTAAAATGACCTTTCTTGAATGCAGAACTTGAACTACTTCTTTTTTTTTGATGTGATTCACTTGATTTCTTGTGATGTTTCTTTTTTAAAGCTTTTGTACTCTTAGTTTCTGCATCTTCATCTTCTGTAACAAATCCATCATCATGAGTTGTTGATACATCACGTTTATGTTCATGATGTTCAACTTGATGTTTTGGTTGTTCTAATGATGGTTCTGGGTTCATTTGTTCTTCTTCATAACTGACACTTGGTTTTTTTTCATGTTTTGGTACAGGTGGTGGTGGTAATGGTCTTTTAATTGATTTATCTTGTGCATTAGATCTTATAGAATCAACATTTGATTGTTGTCTACTATGACCATAATCTTTTGCAGTTTGGAAACCACTTTCTTCAGAAAAATTTTGTTTACGACCATTTGGTGAATTATAAATTTCTCTATTTAATTCTGACATTAAATTATCCATTTCACCTAAATCAACAGATCTTGGTCTATTTGCATCTGTTTCTGTTTTTAATTTATTAATTGGTGAATTAATAAAAGCTTGACTAACAGGTCTTCTTCTTGATCTTGATGGAATTGCAGGATCAATACTTGTAACATGAGATCTATCAACTGCAATTGGTGTTCTTGATTCTTTTGTTGTTTTTAAAGGACCAATATTAAATTCAAATGATGATGTTGATTCTGATTCTTCTGGAATTTTACCACTTGGCGAGGATTTATAAGGATTATTTTGTATATCTGGATGACTTGGAGGTTGTTGTTGATTAGAAATTGATGAATTTTGATCATTCATATCGCCAATAGGAGAATCTCTTGTAGTACTATATGTTGATTCTGGATATTTTGAAGATCCACTACCGCTTTGAGCAATTGAATAATAAGAAGCAAGACTTTCTTTATTTTTAATATGTTGTTGTTGATCTGGTGTAGTAACTTTCCCACTGTTTTTTGATGAATTTCTACTAACTTTAATAACTGAAGGTTTTCTTTGAATATTTGTAGGTTTTAATTCATTTTCCACTGGTAAATCTTCATCAATATCATCACTAATTTTATCATCATCATATTGATCACTACCATCAACCACATAAGCCACTTTATTAACTTCATGAATACTTGGTGCATAATCTGAATACAAAGATCTTCTTTGAGAAGTTGGAGATGGGAATGCTCCATTATTTTGTACATTTAAACTTGGTGAAAGTTGAATAGTTGAAGGAATTCTTTGATTTGATGAGCTATTAACAGCTTGATCAGATTTTTCAAATTCAAAATGATCATTTTCTGATGATCTTGATTGAGTCTTTCTAACTGGAACTATGAAATCTCTTTGTTGACCATCTATTGATTTTCTATTGATAATGAAATCATCAGCATCTATAAAAGATGCAGTATCATTTGTAGTACTTTGAGTAACTTCAGAACTGTTTTTATAACTATCCAACATACTTGATAATCTATTTCTTTCCTTTTGAGCAGTAGCTTCTAAATTATCAAATGAATTGTTTTCTTTATTTTGTTTTAACAAATTTGAAGTTGTAGAACTAATTGAACCTTTTGAAGATTGTCTTTGAATATCTGAAGAAGAATTTGTTAAAACTTCATTAGCTTTATCCCTTAGAGTCCCCATTTTTAATACTAGCTTTTTATTGGGAATGTTATTTCTAAGTTTATAAATATCTTAAGATCAAAAAATAGAATGGAATTCAACTATTTTTATCACTAAAAATTGTCACATTTTAAAAATTTCAGAGTTGATTTGAGAAATTATCAATTTGGAAATTATCAACAGTACTTAATTAAACCCGGATTCGGTAAAAAGTAAACAAACTATTATCAAAAGATTCAAAAGATTCAAAAGATTCAAAAGCCGGTGAAAGAATATTATTAAAGCACATAAATCAGATACAATTGAGGACTTATTGCAAGTCTGACGTAATTGTTGGGGGAATTTGAAGATGGTGGGTGTGTTGATTTGTGAGTATTTTTTAAAGTAGATTATGATAGAATTATTATCTGTCATATCAGCTGATGGGATATGATCATAATGGAACTTACCAAAGATAGACTAGAATTATAACAGGAACATGAATATATATTGATCCCCATATACCTTCATTGTATAATATATACTACAATTAATCAACCATATTCCTCAAATCTCTTCTTATGGACTATTCACTATTTACTTCACTTTCAATCCAGCCAATACTAGTCAAATCAACATATAATTTACACCATTAGATACCTCTTCCAACACAGTACACAATTAATCAATACAATACAAAAATAATACCATCAATCCACTCTCAATTATCCAACTACGTCCTTCTTCCCACGCTCTTTATTATGGGACACAATCTCGAGATCTCCGAACTTTAAAAAAATAACATCACTTGATTCTCTTATATAACTAGAAAACTCGGAAAGCAAATACTCAGAACAACTTACCATATTATTAGCTTCAATAGATACCCATAGATTATAGATACCATTATAGAACAAATGCCTACATTGATAATACTACGCCATGGACAAAGTGAATTCAACAACCTAAATAAATTTTGTGGTTGGCTTGATGCAAAATTAACAGATAAAGGTAAAGAACAAGCAAAATTTGCATCAAATTTAATTAAATCTTCCAATTTAAAACCAAATTATATCTTTACTTCTAAATTAACAAGAACTATTCAAACTGGTAACTTGATACTTGAAGATTTAGATAGACAATGGATTGATGTTACAAGATCTTGGAGATTAAATGAACGTCATTATGGTGCTTTACAAGGTTGTGACAAGAGTGAAATTAGATCCCAGGTTGGTGATGAACAATATATGTTTTGGAGAAGAGCTTATGATGGAATCCCACCACTTATAGAAAAAGATCAAGAAGCAAGTGCGATTGATGAAAGATATAAATATGAGATTGATGAAGTACCAAAAGGTGAATCATTACATATGGTTGTTGATAGATTAAAATCATTATTATATGGTGATATTTTAAAAAAATTGATCGAGAGAGATGTTGTACTTGTGGTGGCTCATGGTAGTGCATGTAGATCAATATTAAAATTAATTAAAAAGATAAGTGATGAAGATATTAAAGATATTAATATCCCTAATGCTATTCCATTAGTTATGAATGTTGATGATGATTTAAATTTAATTGGGGATGAATATTATCTTGATCCTGAGATTGCAAAAGAAAGAGCTGCTGCTGTTGCTAAAGAAGGTTGGTAAAGTGGTTGATAGTATATATAGTTATTATGGTATAGAAATATTTATTAATGTTTAATGTAATTACACTAATATGTATTAAAACGATATTTATGTAATTTATTCTACATTATTCTTCATAATCTGGGTATTTATTGTTTATATTTATTTATATATAGGTATGTATAAAATCTTATAATCATAATTAATATTAAAAAAGTAAAAATATAGAAAATTAAAATAATAATTGAGTTTCATAACAATTTAAAAGAAAGTAAAAAAGGGAAAGAGATAAAGATCAAACATATTCAACATTATCTTTTGCATATTGTAAAGCATCTGTAGCTTCATTCCCAGTTAATCCATGTTTAACTCTAATATGTCTTGATAATGCATCACCTCTACTAAATGTTTTATTTGATAATCCACCTTCTAATTTATTACAAACAATACATCTAAAAATTTTTTTTCTTGATGCATGAATAGTTTCTTGATGCCTTATTAAATCATATGGTCTTGAAAATTGTTTTAAACAAATTTGATTTGTTGATGGATTGATTAATTGACATTGATGAGAATTTTGTTGTTGTGAAGGTGATGTTGATAAATGTTGGGTATGTTGAGTATGTTGTTGTGAAGGAGATGTATGTAAAGGTGTTTGTTGTTGAATTGTTGATGAACGTCTTGATTTTGATTGATTTGGGGTTGGGATTGGTGGTGATAATGATGTTGTTGGTTTTGAAGTTTGGAAAATTGGGGTATATGAATCTTCATCCAATACAGAACTATTTGATGAATATTCATCATCAGAAGAATCTAATGACATTCTATCAATATCAGATTCAAGATCTTGAGTTATTGAATCATCTTTATATTCAAATTTTTTAAATTGTAAATTTGATTTTTGTTGTGAATTAAATTCTTGTTGTTTAATCATTTGATATTCTTGTTTTTGAATTAAATCTTGTTCTTTTTGATATTGTTGATGTTGATAATTTAATGGATTCTTGTCATCATTCAGAGTATTATCTAAATATGTAAATTCATTTGTATCATCTTCATCATCATCACTTAATTCTTCATCTTCAATTTCTTCAGGAATCATAGTTGGTGAAAGAGCGGGATATATAATAAATTTTGAATCTGAATCATCATTATCATCATTTATAAAATAATCCAAGGATAAATCATCATTAAATTTTAATAATTTTGTTGGGATTGTTGAAGGATCTTGTGGGATTTGATGTTGAGAATTATAATGTTGAGTTGTTGTTAAATTTGGATCAGCAAATTCATTAAAAATATGTTGTTCATCATCTTGAGGTAAAGGTTCTGGGATATCATAATACATATCATGAGATTGTACTCTTGATAATTCAGATTGTTGTTGTTGTTGTTGTTGTTGTTGACTATGTTGTTGATGATGTTGGTTTAAGGGTATTTGTTGATCAGGAATAGTCAGCATTTCTTCTGAATTTAAAGCACTTGAATTCTTGAATAATTTTGAATTTGATAAAGTTGGAGAAGAAAATTTATTCAAACTATTTGAACTATTATTTAAATGATGGAAAGGAGCGGTAATTTGTTGTTGAGATAAAGATTGATTGAAATCTTCATATTGTTGGGTTGAATTTGAGTTATTTGAAGCAACATTATTTGGAACATGATATAATTCATCCTCCATAACATCAGTCAGAGTACGACGTAAATGAGGGAATAAAGCTAATGAAGTCATTGATTGTTGTTCTTCTTTATCAGGGTGGTGTTGATTATCTTGTGACACGATTAAGGGGATATGTTCTTGTTGATTAGAAATGCACTTGATTGATTGATTGCTTGCTAACAAACGAAATCTTCAAGCGAGTAGGGTGGTTGATGAAGTTGTTGATGTAATTAATGTAGTGGGTTATTATTCTATCTTTATATCAATAACTAATAATCTAGTTGATATAATTGATATTTGTTTGATGTTGTTGATAAGAATGTTTAAATTGAATTTGAAATCAAAATGTGTAATTTTAAAATCCCTGTATTACTATAAAACAAGAAACAAAGGCCGGGTGACACTCTTGACTATGACATAAGTGGTACACACAACAGTGTTTTATGGGCTATAAACTAAACTAAAAAGTGACTAAAATGACTAAAATAAGAAATAAAAATAATCAACTTGGGAAATAACGGATTGTTTTATTTTAATTTGTTTTACTTTTATTTTATTTTAGTTTTGTTTTGTTATGTTATATTCTCGTTTCTTTATTTCTTCTTCTGCTCCTTCTAGAACAATCTATAAGGTTTGAATTACGGTATTTAAACAAGTACTGATTGTTTAAACAAAGTATATTTAGTCATTTTTAGTACAAGATGGTCAAAGATAATATGTACATAGTGTTATTATTCTAGTTCTAGCTCTAATTCTAGTTTCATTTCTTGATTGCTAACTCTTATGACTTGTTTAAGCCATTAAGCCCTTAAGCCCTTAATTCCAGACAATGTTCGGTAACGGATAGATTACTATTATTAATCTATTAATATATTAATCAATATACTATTGATATCAATATACTACTATATTACTACTACTAATATATTGTAACTCATATAATTCTATGTATAATCATATAGTAATACACCTTAACCATTTCCTTATCAGTAACCCAGTAGTAACCCAGTAATTACCCCCATTTAATTAAGATAAGAACCAACCTTGGCTTTATATTGTTTCTCTTAATTAATAATCATCTTTTCAGATTTTGTTTTTCAAGAATCAATTCGTGGTGGTTGAATTATGTTGGGAGTTGCCTAATGTGGTAATTATTATGTAAATGCTGTGTCATCTGGGGTAAATTTGATTAGTTTTATTAGTATTTATTTATGAATTATTGTATATAAATGGTATTATTTTAATATATGGTTATTGTCTATTAAATTTTCTCTTTCAAATCATCTAATTTTTAGTTATTAATTCTAAGATTAATTTTTAAGAAATTATGGATTTCAAGAATAAAGTATACCTCTTAAATTTTATTTTCACTTTTAAATTAATATATTTATAAAAACACTAAAATTTCAAAGTCATTATTTCTTATAATTATTAATATAATTGAATACCTTACACTCTATTAATAAATACCATCAAATAAAATTCATATATTAACATACAATATCCCATAAATAATAACCATTAAACTCATTAAAATTGACATAAATTTAAACATTTTAATTTTCACCGAGATTACATAATACAGATTGTTATCTCCGGAACATCAAGATTCAACAATACAAAATTTTAGTCATTTGTAGATTGTGATACGTATACAAAAGGAATTTTAGTAACATCCATGATTGATAAATGAATGGAATAACAATAACGATTACGATTAATAGTTTGATGTTTAACTTATAATACAAACACATAAATGATTACTTGTATATACATATATAAATGTCAAATAGAAGTAAATATAGGATATTATTACATTATATCTACAATTATTTCAAATTCATAAGAAGGCTATCATAAACATTATAATATACATTTAAATTTAATAAAACACCAAACCAATACCTTGATAATTACCCCAAAAATTAATAATTAATAATAACTAAAATAAAATATAACAATTTCTTAATTACCAAAACCATATAAAGTTCTACCTTGTCTTTTCAAAGCATAAACAACATCTAATGAAGTAACAGTTTTTCTTTTAGCATGTTCAGTATAAGTAACAGCATCTCTAATAACATTTTCCAAGAATGATTTTAAAACACCTCTAACTTCTTCATAAATTAAAGCAGAAATACGTTTAACACCACCTCTTCTTGCTAATCTTCTAATAGCTGGTTTTGTAATACCTTGAATGTTATCTCTCAAGATTTTTCTGTGACGTTTAGCACCACCTTTACCAAGACCTTTACCACCTTTTCCTCTACCAGACATTTTTAATTAATTGTTGTTGTGTAGTATAATGATTTAATAGTAGTAATTAAAAGTTTTCAAAAAGTGGGAAATAAGGGATATTTATGTTTGAAATTTGGGAAAATTAAAAATGTGTTTCTAAAAATCACATAATTTGCCAATGTACCAATAAAAAATTAACTATGTACCATGTTGCTTTAAAATTTAAAATCTCCTTTGTAACTCACACAAACAAAAACAAATCACGCGCGGTTAAAGAAATTTACAAGTGTTTATTTTGATTTTTAGAAGTAGGAAGGTTAAGGGCAGTCTGAGATTTACTCCAGTGTTTATGTTTGGTTGTATGGGTGTTTGGGAGGATTACGTGTAAATATGAGTACAGTACCAGTACTCAGATGTACACATAAACAATGGCTTAACGCGTGTAAATACTGGAACATCGGATTTGGAATATTTACATTTTTGGTGCGGAACTCCCAGCCCAGGATTTACACAGCAACAAATACAGGTTAACTATGGATCATAAGGGTAAAAACAGGAACTGGACACCATTAAATCACAACCTGGTACATAGTTAAACCACAAAATCACAAATTGTAAATTGCCAAAAAGAAAAATAAACAATTTTGAGAAACATGATGTGCATTTTTTTAAATAATAGTGGCAAATTTGAAATTCTCAACAAAAGTGACCAAAATTTGTTATAAAAACATCAGTTTTCCCACTTTTTCAAAATTCAAAACTTCTACTTGTTTTATCATCATCATCCACAACAATGGCTAGAACTAAACAAACAGCAAGAAAATCTACTGGTGGTAAAGCCCCAAGAAAACAATTAGCTTCAAAAGCTGCAAGAAAATCAGCTCCATCAACTGGTGGTGTTAAAAAACCTCATAGATATAAACCAGGTACTGTTGCTTTAA